GTTGTTTAAAGAAATTAATTGAGTTCCATAAAGTCCTACATTTTATTATTATTAGTCTACATATTCTGTTCCGTTAAGTAGTTCAGAATTGTTATATGCCCATTTCCGATAATAAGTGTACGTATTTTACTCTTTTTACGCTACATTAGGTGGAGCATCATGAAATTTGTGCCTATGACTATGTTGAGGTGCGTGATGGTCTCGATGAGACAGCTCCTCTGATAAAGCGTATCTGTGGCTTCCAGATGCCTACTCCGGTCGAGTCAACGAAGAATACAATGTATGTGAAGTTCTTCTCAGACAGTTCTGTAGAAAAACAAGGCTTCACCGCCACATTCCAAAAAGGCAAGTCAATCCGTTTTGTCTCTAACATGATTTGATTGTTGCCAATTATACTTTGAGTACAGGCACTTAAACGCATTGAGTCTGTTTTGTATTCCATCGCGATGTAGAAGTGAGTGAGAATATTTAATCGGATTGGAATTCTACTCATGATTTTTTTAACACACCTAAGTAGTCTCGCTAGAATCAATGAAAATGTGATTACATTTCCTTCTCTTTTCTTAGTTTCTAATGATCCTAATATGCATCGATATTCCGCTGTTTCTACCAGCCTATACGTGGAAAGCCGTATAAAACAGGCTGAGATGCCTATTCCTCTCTCCATACAGTCCTATTTATGCTTATAACAACTACGTGGCCACGCTGCTGTACAAAAGTTTTCTAGACCCTGTTGATAGCTCATCTTCTTCATCCTTTAGAGTAGAGAGTAGCTCGCAGATGAGTCCATCAAATGACCGAAATCCTTAAGTTGTGGTACTTTCAGGGTAGGGATTGAGGCAGGAAAATGTCAACGAACTCAACAGAGCCAAATTTACAGCAAATGCTCCCACAGCAGATTGCCGGAACTGAAGGTTACTCATAGTACAGCAAAAATTGATGGAGGATGGACAAGTGGTTGTCTGAGTGGGCGATCTCAATCAGGCAATCGACTTTTTTTAGTTAATACGAGACCTCATCAAGTGATTTTCAGCCCATTGACATTTCACTGATGAATTGAATTT